AAAAAAAAAAAAAGAGAGACCATGAATTTGAAAGAGAAGGAGGGGTATACTGGAGAGTTTGGAGGGAGGAAAGGGAGGGGGAAAATGTAATTATATTAAAATCTTGCTGAGTGGCAGTGGCGAGTGTTTTTAATCCCAGCACTTGGGAGGTAGAGGCAGGCAGTTCTCTGTGAGTTTGAGGCCAGCCTAGTCTATAAAGCAAGTTAAAGGACAGTTACGGCTGTTACACAGAGAAACCTTGTCTTGAAAAACAAAAGAAAACGAACAAAAATTTCAAAAATACAAAAGGAAAAAAGGGGAAAAACTTAAAAGAAGTAAAAGGAAAATTGTATCTGGTATGTTGTAGAATATTATTTTTAAGGTGTGTTACTTTTATTTATGTTACATTTATATGATGTTACATTTGTTTAACTCTGTGAAGCTGTGTTACTGTGCCTGTCTAAAACACCTGGTGGTCTAATAAAAAGTTGAATGGCCAATAGCAAGGCAGGAGAAAGAATAGGTGAGGCTGGCAGGCAGAGAGAATACACAGAAGGAGAAATCTGGGAGAGAGGAAGAAGTAGCTAGAGAAGGAGGACTCCAGGGGCCAGCCACCCAGCTACATAGCAAGCCATGGAGGAAGAGTAAGATTTACAGAAGTAAGAGATTGGGAAAAACCCAGGAGCAAAAGGTAGACTGGCTAATTTAGGTTAACAAAAGCTGACAAGAAGCAAGCCAAGCTAAGGCCAGGCATTAGGAATAAGCCTCCGTGTGACTTATTTGAAAGCTACATGGTAGGCCCTGAGAAGAAAAAAAATAACACTTAGGTTTTGTTATATAACAAATTGCTGCAAAAATATTGTAGCTTAAAATGATCACTGCTTATTTTAATATGTGATTATTTCATTTCACTAGTCAGTTGTTCTCTTTTTACTGGTTCAGCTGGTCGCTGCCAGGTTTTCTCAGGTGTTTGATCAGCTGGTAAATTTTCTGATGGCTTCTTGACCTAAGGAAAACATGCACATATGGTCATTGGCCATTGGCTAGAGTGCCTTAGTATTTCTTCTGAAGACTCAACTTTCTGCAGACTAGCTAGGGATCACCCATAATGCTGCCACAGTTTCAAACCTGCACCCTAAGAGGTTACAAGGCCTGCTGAGGAGTAGCCATAGAACTTCCAGTCTCTATCAACTCTATCATTTGATTGGAGATGCTTCGCTGCTAACAGTCTTGTGGTTAATTACAGTTGATAATAACAGTTAAATCTTTTCTTCAGTCCAATGGACTCTTAGTCCCCCCCCATTGGTATTCTGAGAGATATCTCTGTCTCACTTTTCTCTTTCACACTCTTTTAACATTTAGTTTATTATATACCTACTCTGCACCAAGCACATTTGTTTATAAAAATAGAGCCACACAGTACTCAAGGGGGACATTCCAAATGGGGTAAAAGTACTTTTATAGCTTGTAGCAGGGACTTTAGACTTGTCTAGAGGAAATACAAAGGTTCCCTAGAGTAATTAAAGTTCAGGTTAAGTATTTTTATTTGTTGATTGATTTATTTTGTAGTACTGAGGATTGAACTAAGGATTTTGCTCATGCTAGTCAAGGACTCTACCACTGAGCTGCTGTATCCCTAGCCCAAGATTAAATCAAAGATGAAAGTTCTGCTGTTTAGGAGTTAGAGGGGAACATAATATAAGTGTAAAAATGGATGTTACAGTGGAAGAACACCCAGAATTTTCTCTGAGCCACAGAAATACCCCCAAGATTTTCTAAATTATACCCACATTTAGGCAGAGGATGGAATGTAATCCTGACTGGTTTGTATTGATTTCCACGGGGAACCAGACCATCACATAGGCCACTCTCAGTGAGATCACCTTGGAAAGTCTGTTTCCAGACTTAACCATACTTCTTTTTGTCTCTGATCTTTCCTTCCTTAGGAGATGCTCTTCACCTACCTTCTCCTCTGACTCCAGTGTCTACAAAACTAAATCTTCGGAATCAACTGGTGATCAGCCCAAGCATATTTCTACTATGTATTTTCTACATGCCTGGGTGAGGCTTCCATTTGTTTATCAGTGTGACCAGATCTAGAACCTCTGGCCCTGTGTTTGTGGGAATTTCTGGATAGCATTAATTGAACTGGTTAGACTTACTTTAAATGTGATTCCAGAGCCTGGAATCTTGGATTGAATAAAAGGGGAAATGCAAGCTGAGTACTGGCATTTATTGTTCTTTGCTTCCTGAGAGCAGATGCAACATGACCAGCTGCCTCTTGTTCTTGTTTCTGTGATTTCCATACCCACACCCTGAAACCACAAGTCCAGTTGTACCCTACCTTCTTTCAGTTTCTCTTTTTTCAGGTAACTAATGCAACCTGTGTGGCAGGTGATGTTCCTTCATGCTGTACTGTGGGAGCCAACCTTATCATTGGTGTTTTTTACAGCATGTGAGAAGTTATTATCTGGAGGTCACTGAGTGAAATCTGACAGCCATCAAAAGACAAATGCTGCACGGTCTCATTTGGGGTCTAAAATGTCGGACTGGGAGGCAGAGAGTACTGTGGTGCCTACGTGAGTTTGGGTGAGGGACATGGGAAGATGCTGATGAAGGGAATAGGTATGAATGAGATCTGGGGATCTAAAACATATGGTGACTATGGTTTATAATACTGTATTCTGCACCTGGAAGGTCCTAGGAGAATAGATATTAAGTATTCTCACCATGCATATACAAAACAGCATATGTGAGACAATGGATGTGTTAATTAGATTAGTTGTGATACTCAGTTCACACTGTGTGTATATGTATGATGTATATATGTATGTATGTATGTATACACTCATGACATGCATATATTCAATCACCACATTGCATACTTAAAATACCTATAATTTTCCTTTGTCAGCTAGACTTCAATACATTTTGAGGGAAAATACAACTTTATGGAGAGTTTTACCTGATACTGATTTGTTGTCTCTTCAGATACAATTCTGCTACTGAAAAGCACAAGAAAGCACAGATCAATGACCATGACTCTGGAATCTCGGCCCCTGGGCTCTGTCTCAATGTGCTTCATTCACGCTGGGGCTTCTGCTGGCTACAATTCCCAGATGTGGATCTGGGAATTCCTACAGACCTAAAGTCAGTCTTGGTCTCCACCCCTGAGTGTCACGTGGCTCTTTGCCTTCCAAGCATTCTCAAGCTCGTCTTTGGTGGTTTTCTCATAAAACTATCAAGTAAATATAGTTTTTATTTGGGAATGGGAACTCACAGGTCCTAGAAAGTATGCTTAGGCTAGAGTCTCCCAGTATTCAGGAACTGATGCACAAATAGAACTAGGTTTTAAAATATCCAGAGCAGAACTTTATTGAGAAATACAGAGTAACACACCATCCAGATCTCTCATACCCTACTCCCTGAACCTTATCCAACTAGAGCTGACCAGCCCAACTATGCTTTCTTGGATCGTTCTCTCTGATTTGTTTTCCCCTTCGCCTGGTGTCTAGTTAGTTCTTCCAGCCATGTAAATCCTTCTATACACCACAGTACATAGTCATTGAGAGACAGAGAACTTGGGGTTATTTTGGGTCAAAGATAATCTCTAAGTTCTACTTAATTAAGACTCTTTTCTGGGGGATGAGAAATGACCTCACATACTCTGTCTTATTTTTACCAATTCAAGATCCATATACTGCTCAAATGACAGACCTGGCAGAAGGCATCAGGGGCTCTTGGGAAAGAGGAAGTCTGGGTTAGAATATTTGATGTGGTGCCAAAGATTAGATTTTGTATTGTTGAGGGCAGAATTAAGGCAAACCATTGAGAAAGGCAGGAAGCTACTTTTAATTTACCATAGAGAGAAACTTTCTATCCTTTTAGAGCTATCCAGATGAGAAGATTCTACCTGAAGAAACTGTTTATCAATTCATAGGAGCTGCTAGTCCTCCAACAAGGAGTGAGGACAAGGAGGCATTTTCTGTCAAATGAAAGCCCATCAATTTTTCTTTATTAGGCCCAGCCACTGGTCCTAATTTTAGATTCTAGAATGGCAGCAAATAAAGCTAATCACTCTTGCACATTTTACAAGAGGGGCTTGTAAATGAATTTCTAATTGGTGGAAATTTAGGCATGTTTATGAAGTGGAATACATTTCAGGCCAGTGGGAGATATTTTGGGACTGTATGGTTCTTTTTAGCCCACACTTCTCTCATTCCATAAAGATGACCAGCGACCATCCTGGTTGGAGAAATGTGTGGCACATCTATTTCAACTTTTAATTGCTGAAGATGATTTTTGGTGGGAAGGAAGTGGAATCAGTAGTGCTTTGGGAGCCCCTTCTGAGTTTTTACAAAGGGCACATTCTCCTTCAGATTCAGATCATAAAATGGTATGTGTGTATGTGTGTGTGTGTGTGGGGTCAATTAAAGAAACGGCTATGTTGGATGGTACAGGGTCAGGAAGGGGTTTCAAATGATTCCTGCCCCACCCTGTGCAGCCCAAACTGGCCTCAAACTTTCCGTCCCCATTCACACCTCAGCATGCTTAGTGCTTTATTGCAGGTGTGCACCACCCCCAACCTGGCTTCCAGGATGCAAGCTTCCTTATCATGAACCAATCACCTCTGCTTCCTTCTGTCCTCTTGCCATGGATATAGTGCGATTCTCTGTTAAATACATGGGTACCTTTTCCACATTTCCACCTATGAAAATATTCACAAGTGTGAATGTTTTCTTTTATATTTTTCTAGGAGCTAGCATTGTCCAGTTTGCAATGTTGCCTAGTTTCCTGGGTACTCACCACTCAGTAGTATTTGAGTTGGGTCTATGGGACCACATTGACCAGAACTTTGACTGTGTGTGTGTGTGTGTGTGTGTGTGTGTGTGTGTGTGTGTCCCATTTCTGATACTGAGATTTTTATTTGTTAGAACTGGTATCTAGTTGGGGAGGATTGCTTTTTGTAATTTTTTTCTTTTGGTAATTTGATTGTAATGTTCTTGACCGTCATCTTTCTAGATGACAACATCAAAGTTTGGATAATCCTAATAGGCTGTTGAACTAGATGGGGCATACCCAGAAACTAGACATGAACCAGTCTCCTCTTTTGCCTCCTCTACCTCATACAGCTGTGGTCTGTGTGCTGAGTGGAGAATATGATTTTGGGGCGAGGCAAGAAAGTTATGGTTAAAGGAGGAATTTGAAAGATTGTGGGAGCACCCCAGTTTTCTGTCTAAATGATGCTATGACACCCTTTAGAAGTCCCTTCCTGGTTCTTGGCATTGGATGTTTTGAACAGCCCCACAGAGGGAATCAGCAAGCTTTGGGGGTCATTGTTTCCCCAAAGCCAAACTGAGGAGCCATATGTGCTGTTGTGTACCATGGAAGGGAATGAAATTGCACACACACACACACACACACACACACCAAAATGAAGAGACAAAGTAGAAAGGCTAGAAAAATATAAATAAAAAAGAGTTCAAGGTTTTATTGTTAACTACTGCTGTCATTGCCTGTACCTACACTTGTATATAAGAAATATGTAACATACTAACAGGAACTAATTTATCCATATCTGACACTGGCTGTTTTATTGAGTTGTTGATGGTATCTGGAGGAGGCTTTGTCCTCCCTTTATAGAAATACTCTATTTATGCCCCCTTTATATATAATATGTATATATTTTAAGAATTTTGTACAATAGTAGGTTTGCATATGGCATTTTCCAAAAGTCTTCAGTATAGCCATCCTTCTCCATACTCTTCCCTCTACCTTTCCCTCCCACCCTCTTTTAACTCTTCCTGTTCAATCATTTACTCTCTCCCCTTCATACTACCTGTGTTACATCTCCTCTCATAGAATCAACCTCCATGATTCCTTATTAGTTTCATGGCCTCTATAAGAATCTCAATATAAATATATATCCAAAGATTCAAAACTATTACTCATATTTAAGAGAGAACATGTTGTATTTGTCTTCTGGAGCTTGGTTCCTGTCTTAGTTATCATTTTATTGCTATGAAGAGACACCATGCCCAAGGAAGCTTATAGAGGAAAGCATTTAATTCAGGGCTTGCTTACAGTTTCAGAGAGTTAATCCATTATCATCATAGCAGAGATTATGGTGACAGGCAGGAAGGCAGGCATGATGCTAGAGAAATAGCTGAGAGTCATTTCTCATCATGGTTCTCAGAGAGAAAATAGAAGAGGAGAGAAGAGAAGAGAAGAGAAGAGAAGAGAAGAGAAGAGAAGAGAAGAGAAGAGAAGAGAAGAGAAGAGAAGAGAAGAGAGGAGGCCATAATTGGCATGGTTTTTTGAAACCTCAGAGTCCATACCTAGTGACACACCTTCTCCAAGGAGGCCACATGTCCTAATCCTTCCCAAATAGTTCCACCAAAACTGTGAACCAAGTATTCAAACATATGAGCCTATGGGAACCTAGTATCGTTCAAACTACTATAGTTCCCTTACTCAGAGTGATTATCTCCAGCTCCATCCATCTAAAAATTCATTGATTTTTTACCAGTGAATATTATTCCATTGTTTTTATGTGCCATATTTTTATTATCCATTCATCAGCTGATGGACATCTATGCTGATTCCATTTCCTGGCTATTGTGAAAAAAAACTTTTCAGTTCTGCAAATACTTATGGTATTTTATCTTTGTAATTGCCTTGTTTATTTACTGAGCTCTTACTAAAATTTCCTTTATAGGGCTTTGGATCTTCTTGGTGCCTGAATTTTCTTATCATTTATTTCTTACATTGTATCATGTTACCCACTATATACTTCCCAGATGTTACTTACATTTATCCTTTAGAAGTCTGTGCAATTTTTAAGTATGGTTGTTCCCTATCTAATACCATCTAATACCTTCACAATCTTCTTAAACATTTTCTGGTTGATCTTTTCTTTTACAATAGCCTTCTGTTCTTGTTGCATGGATATCTATTTTCTTTTTGAAGACTAACTATAATTTTTATTTCAATGTTTATTTTACTTCTTGCTTTTTTTCTCTAAGTCTCTTGCTTCATTTTTTTGTTTTTACATTTTGTTAAGAGTTTCTGTTTGTGAATTGTGACTCTTTGTTCATATTTTAGAGTGAGGAACCATATTTATGGCTAAAATTCTCTGTTTACTGTTGGGCTTTGTTATTTGATGGGCTTCACTATAGAATTATTGGAGTCTGGAAATTTTGTTAGTCAATTCACAACTCAGGCTCCCAGCATTAGATTCACAGATCTGGAAATGTTAAATTGATAAAGACACTCCTTTTAGCTTTCTATTTTGCTGGTGGCTTTCCGGGGGCTCATAAGGAGGAGGAAGGGAGGTGTCTTAAGTAGGTGCTACTTCCGAGGAGGGCAGCCCAGGATTGTTACATTTGTGGTTGGGTGCTTCTTCCAAAGAGGGCAGTCCAGGATTGTCACTTTTGTGGTAGAATAATTAATGACGAGACTAGAGAAATGATCCGAATGGCAGGAGGAGAGCATGTGAACATAGCTTGACTTTAGAAGTCAAAGCAGGTGACTGTAGATTACCATTGATGAGCTTTAATATTACAGTGGAGGTAGAATCCAGTTTTTGGGACTAAAGGAAACAAAGAAGAGATCTGACTGTGGATAGACTGTTTGCTGTTCTAGAACCTCGCTCTTCTGTGGGCATCACTGGCCTCAGTTCACCTGGCTGGCAATAGTATTGAGTATATTCTGGAATAATACAGGGTGCTTGCGCTGCAACTGTGGCAAGTGATGGGCAGGAGACAAGAGAGATTTTTAAATGTATGAAAGTAAAACAAACACTTTATTTAAGGAAAAGGCAACTTGGAAAAAAGAAAGCCTAATAAATAACTCAGTACAGCTGGCTTAAGCACTTTAAAGCCAGTGTCTGTGATAAGCAATGAAAACATTAATATACAATGCTTCACCATAAATGAGTACAATTCAGGCTGATGTATTGCAGCTGAGCCGGCTGGTGGATGGCATGCTTTTAAAGTGATGTTTACAATCAGGATCTTTTTTGCTTGGGGAAGTAGAAGAAGGCAGAAATGGCTGAGAGCTTTGCCAGGGTGCAGCTCTGAGCTTTTGGTGTGTGGGAGCCCTGCCAAATGGCTGGCTTCCTCTATGGCCTCTTCCCACTCAGTTGAGCACAAGGCAGCTGGGGAAGTTCAGAGAAGGGTGGTGGCAGGCTTATGCAAAGAGCTTGGAACAGGGATATGCTCTAGCCAGTTACGAGGGCTGGAGA